TCTTCTTCGGGTCCTTGTTGTCGTCGGTCTTGTTGGGTTTCGGCTGCTTCTTGTCGTCGGTCTCCTCGGGTTTCGGCTGCTTCTTGTCGTCGGTCTTCTCGGGTTTCGGCTGCTTCTTGTCGTCGGTCTCCTCGGGTTTCGGCTGCTTCTTGTCGTCGGTCTCCTTGGGTTTCGGCTGCGTCTTGTCGTCGGTCTCCTTGGGTTTCGGCTGCGTCTTGTCGTCGGTCTCCTTGGGTTTCGGCTGCTTCTTGTCGGTCTCCTTGGGTTTCTGCTCCCGGTCGCCCATTTTGGGCTTCTTCGCTGTTGGCTCCTCGGCCTTCACCTTGCCATTCTCCTCGTTCTCGTCGTCCTTCGGGTTTGGGGTCTGGAGTTTATTATGACACTTATGGTTTACGGTGTAAGCTTAGGGCTTAGGGCTTTAGGATGCATCGCCCACTTGGGGCAATCTTGTTCAGGAGCACTACTGTCCTGGGCCATGAAGACTGCAGAACGTCTCGGCGGGCCAGGAGTTGGCGATGCGTAGCCTGGGCATGGGCTGATCAAGGGTTTATCAAAGGTCTATATATACTTAGGGGCTGAGGTTCAGGGTGCAAGGTGGCTCTGATCCCGATTCCTGTTTAAGTGAACGGCTTTTTTAAGTCTTAGATAGGGGTTGCATCGAAGGTTCAAGTTTCAGCGGGTCGGGTCCAGGCTCTAGAATCGGAGTTTAGTGGGTTGGGGTTGAAGTTTCAAAGTCCAGGTGTAAAAAGCGGGTTGGATCGAGGTTATAGAATATACATATATAATAATGGGTTGGCTCGAAGGCTATAGCTATACGAGCTGGATCGAAGGCTCCAATTTTATGGTGGGTGGGATCTGATTTAGATCAGGGGTTCAATTCAAATAGGTTGGCTCCCGCCTGGTAGGATTGTTCGCAAATAAGTACAATTAGAGCTATCGATATAGCTGATGTACAGAGTGGGATTGATCGGTGTTTTGGGGAGACACTTGTGCTTATTATAGCTTTTCATGGCAGTTGGTTGCGGCGAGGGTATGGAAAGAGAGAGAGAGAGAGAGAGGGAGATATAGAAAGAGAGAGGAGAGAGAGTGAGTGAGAGTGAGAAGGAGATGTAGAAAGAGAGAGCGAGAGACGGAGAAAGAGAGAAAGAGAGAGAGAGAGAGAGAGAGAGAGAGAGAGAGAGACAGACAGAGAAAGGTTTGAAACATTGCACACCCCGGAGGCTTTTGTTGCTGCATCCTAAGCAAACCACAATCACTATATAGAAACAACACTAGGCCCAAACCTGTGTGGAACCCAAGCAGACCCGACACCAGGCACGATGGATAATGTATGCACCAACACCGAATCGTAATCATCCCAAATCCCCGAAGCGAAACCCTAAATCCCTGATTCCCTCACCCCTGAACCCTAGTCCCTGGACCCCTAAAGGATGTTCCGGCTAGCAATATGCAGCCCAAGCCAGCGAAACTCAGGATCGGATCTTTATGAAAGCTGCGACCCAGGCTTTGCTGGCATCCAAGCACATCCAGCGACTGGCTTATGCAATAGTGTAAGCGGGTGCTCCAGCAGATCGAGCGACATAGACATGTGATACTGTAAAACACGGTTCGCCAGACAGCTTTAATCAGAAACCACGGCGTACACAAAAAAGGGTCCATCTATCTTGGAGATAGACTCTCCTCCCAGGGCCACATTCAAACAAGCTTCGTGAGAAATAAACGTAGCAATGAGTGCCGCCTCAAGCATTGCAGCAGCCTCCCCATGCTCGAAAATCGCAAGCAGCTTCATGCTCCGGAATACTCTCGGCTTCTCGAGCAGGTAAGAATGGGCAGCACGTCTCCAGCGATGGGAGGGGTCTGCAGTCTGTCCGATCTTAAACTTCACGGAAGTAGAAATGAGATGGCGGATCCGGGTGTAGGCGTGTTCCGGAATTTTGGATGCCAGCTGACATGTCAAAAAATCCACATGTATCTGAGGATCTGCAAGCACGGTTCGCATAACCGACTGAAGTCGTGACAGGTTCTGCAGTGCGACAGGAATGAGTGTCTTGTAGTAGTTTGCACTGACCAGCTGCTCGCGACGACCATCCACCATGACAAAGGCACCCGAAGAGCTCACAGGATTTTCGCATCGGCTCGCTGCCGTTGCAACACATGGTCCCCCTTTACAAAACTCTGAATGCTTGGCCAGCAGGCTTGACAAAGAAGGCTCATCCCATCCATCATGTGACTCAGACCCATCACTTGTCAACAGCTGCTGCAAGGTACTTCTACATCCATGGAGCTTTCTGCCGCTTCTGCCGCCGTGGAACTTCTACCGGATTCTACCGGCATGACTACTCAGCAGCTCGACAAGCCACTCGTCATCGGACTCAGGTCTAACTTCACTCTTCGACATGAGGGCCTAAAGCTTGGGAGATCACAGCTGCACAGTTTGGGGAGCTTTCCAGCCAGAACCGCTTGTGCAGACGGGCAACTGAAAGACGAAGTCCTAGTTGGGTCATCGCCAGCCAGCATTCCGTCCAAGGCGTTCAAGAACCAGTCGTTGGCGACGGCGGTAGCAGCAGCTACCTTGGCATGTTCATTTGTTTGGGATCCCGTGCGGCGGGGGCTGGGGTGCATTTGTTTCTGAGAAAGCAGTACGGAGAATAATGCATTGATGCCAGTAGTACAGAGAATAGTGCATTGATGCCAGCCTACGATGATTAAGTCCAGGGCTCTGACATGTCTGGCACATCTTGCTAGCTGCTTCTTTGCACTGCTGGCTCGTCTTGCTTTGTTTGCGGGAGTTGCTCTCTGGGTGGTGCTTCTACTGGCTTTTGCTCCTCGGCAATTTCACATGTTGCCTTCTGCTTGTCATCATTGTTGATGTTGCTGCTGTTGCTGCTACTGCTTGTTGGCGACGAAGACGACGAGCTGCTGCTGCTGCTGCTGCTGCTGTCGTCGCTGCCACTACCATCAACACACTCATCATCTTGATGCTCATCCTTTTCATCATCATCTGGCTCGGCACCATCTGCTGACTCATTTTCGGGATCTTTCTGCTTCCCCTTAAGCCTTCGCCGCTTTGTTGACCTCTGTGCTGCTGCAACATCGCTCGGGGTTCTGTGAGGTCTTCTGTGTGCCTGCCGAGCCAGGGATATCGGCCACGTATTAATATTTCATTTCCGAACACACTAGACAAAAAGAAGTTTTGTAACGAGCGGGCCTCGGGGACCCATTCGCGACGACGGAGTGACGACTGGCTGTAATGGCGAAAGGCAGCACTCAATCGCAAAGCATTGGTAGTCGCCCATGTATCTCTATCTGATGGCTGGATCGCGGCAGAGTTCTGTGCTGTCCTGTTTCGTTGCTGTAGTGCTAGAATGCCAAAAGTTTCCATTCAGAAGAACCAGAATCTAGATAAAAGCTAGCTTGCTGGGTCCTCCATTTTCAAGATATGCAAAAGGCTCTTCTTCAGCACAGCATCAGGGAAGTTCCACGTCGGGCTGAGGGAAATCGTAGCTTGGAAAATTCCTTGGAGTAACCTCGATTCGGATCGGTTGAAAAGCTCGAACCCCGACCCAAGCAACCCCGAAGTTTAAAAGAAACGAAACCAGTATTCTATATAGAGCTGGATGGCCGAGACTGAAGCTTCTTTTTGTCGATCTTCGCCATGTCCCGGCTAGTGGTATATGTGCTGAAGTGTTTCTCTTTGATAAACGGTGCCATCGCTGATGCCAGTTCTCGAAACTTCTTGAACCCCACCCTCCGAACTCGCTGCCCAGCCGCCGGTCTCTTCTGAGCTTTGCCCGCCATTGCTGGCAAATCCACGGTCGACTGATCTAGACTAGGATGTTTGGCGGTAGATTGCAGAGTCGCAGCAGCACCGGCAGTGTTCGATCTCTGTGTACAGCAGTACGGGTTGCGGGTGATACTTGGGGTCTAAGAGTTAGAAGCTGCAGTGTGACATAAGGCAGCTACAGGTAGTATGTAGGGGTTCTGGGATTATAAGGCTTTAGGTCCTAAGACTGGGGGATTAGGGCTTTAGGTCCGAAGACTATATAAGTCTAAAGTTAGCCAACAGAGAGCGAGCGCACTAAACCCGATTCTAGAAGTAAGCCTTACTCACATCCCAGGAAGTGGTCGGAAATATGATCTCGATCTGCATTCTGGACACCGAAACTTGGCACAACCTCGAACCCCGTGCCCATTGGGCATCCTGCTGAGATCTCGGGCTGCGAATGCGGCCAGCTGTGGGAGCTCTCTGGATTTGACTTCGGGGTTCGGGCTTCGGGGGTGGGCTTGCTAGTTTTATAGGTTTTAATATCTAAAAACTTATATAGGCCTAATCAGCGATTGGAATCCGGCCAATAGGGCTTTAAGGAATTACTCCGCCTACCGACAACCCAGCAGCTATAATACCATAAAACCGGAGGACTGGGCCAGGAAATGGGACCTTTGGCTGTGGGGCCTGTGTGATGTATGCTCATGATGCGAATTTGAATAGCTACAGTCAAGATTGCAGCATTTTTTTATACGACCATGCAGTAACACACATGTACAATGCTTTTGCTGCCTCGTTCTACTTTAAGTGATGTGTTCTAGAAGGATTGGAAGGAAACTAAGGATAAGGCTTCGATTTCTACTCATATTCCGTTCAATTCCTCAAAATCCCAATTACCACACGAGCTTTCGGAAAACCTCGCTCCAAACACAGACTCTTGATCGCTTTATGCTACGAAACGACTTCCTGACATTCCAAACCAACAATGCAAGCTTTCCAAAGCCTCACCACACCGGCGAATAACAGTTTGTATGTATTTCATATGGTCCTCTCTCTCTTTCTGTTATTCGAATCTCTCATAAGCTTTCTTTTTTTTTCTTTTTCTTTTTTTCGCAGTGGTTTTGAGCCAAACTACTTCGAATATAGGTCTTTCGTTACCAGCGCTGATTTACCATGGATGTAGATCCGCTGTGAGTTTCTGGAACCACACATGCACAAACAGATACGCAACGAAATGGTGGATCTACTTTTTGGATCCGTCCGGGGGTCTGGGCTGTATGCCGACGACACCCACTTGAAATGGAGGTTCGAGACGTATGTTGAACTGGAGCGCAGCATGATGGAGGTACGTGTTGCTATGGGAATATTCAAAGCCTTTCATATGAAGGTAAACTACGAGAAGACTAAGGCCATTCTGAAGGTCGTTGGGGGTCTTCGCAGTCGAGTCCACAAAGAATATGTCCGCAAATATGATCAGGAACGACGATTGCTTCTGTCACCGCGAGATCCCACGGCATGGGTGGCATTGGTGCCACAGGCGGAATACCTAGGTCTCATTATTTCATATGGGGCCTTTGAGTTACAGTCCATGCGACACCGAGTCTCCAAGGCAAACAAGCGTCGGTGGGCAATGGCTGGCGTGCTTCATTCCCGCAGGATCAGTGTGGGCTACAAGCTGCAAATCTGGCGAAGCTGCGTGCTCAGCACTCTCACGTATGGCCTTCACTGTTGTGGTCTTACCGGGGACCAATTGTAGGAGGCCCAGAAACATATGATGAAACATGTCCGGGCCATCACCAACAACCAGGCGCATATCACCGGTGATTCGCATGAAACTATCATGGATAAGTTCGGTGTGCAGACGGTCGTTGGCCTCCTGCAGCGAACACATGATCGGGAAGCGTAAGTTGGTCTCTCAGCCACTGAGTGGATGCAAGATGAATATTGGCTTCAGCATGTCACTGACAGGTTGAAACAACAAAGTGCGCTTGAGCCGGAGGGGGCAGAGTCCGCAGTGTGGAGTTGTCCGGTGTGCGAAGAGGCATTTACCACCTCGGCTGCCTTGAAAGTACACGCTAGAAGATCGCATGACATCGTGGATGAACACAAAGAAATCTTCAACAAAGCCAGACACTCCAAGAATGGACTTCCCATTTGCAAGTTTCACGACAGAAAATTCTCCAAGTGGCAATCATTGGCGGTACACATTAGCGACAACTCTTGCCCAGCGCTGATCGCTCCCCCTGAAGAAGACAATGACCCCGGTTTTGGTTCTGGTTTCGCCAACACCCCAGCACTGCCTACTACGTCCTCATGCGATACACTTCAGCCATCCACTGCTACGGACTCTATGAGCATCTGTCCGTTGCCTGATGTTCAGACGGCGGTGCAGAAAGGTATCAATGCTTTCATCCTGCTCAAAGCCATCACGGCACAGCTTCAGCAGACCTGTAGCATTTGTGGGCAGTGGGTAGCCTCTCATCGAACACTCAAGCGTTATTTTCAATACTCACACAATGATATCCTGGAGGTCCTGGGTAGCCGCATACAAAAGCTTGTCGCCCGTACTGCCACGGCCAGCCCTGCGTGCCACTTTTGTGGAGTTGCGTGCAAGGACTGGCGAGGGCACCTTCCTAAGTGCACGGTGGCATGGCAATGTGCAATTATGGTACTTATGGGCAAGGATGTTCGACGACGACGAGATGACGGAGTTCTTCGGGGAACTACGGGACAGCCACAAGAACAAGCGGAGGCGGCCAGAAGCTCGGGGTGCACCTCAAGGACCACAGGCAGTAGCGAGTCAGTCCGCGGCAGGGGGCTTGACGCTTACTTCGCTAGCTCGCATAGTGCTGAGGCAGGACGAAGAGCTAAGAGTGATCAAACAAGATCATTCACTGGTCCTGTGGCTGAAGGCGGGAGCGGATTCGTTTATGCCGTTCTTCCACCAAACCACAATGCAATTCCGCAAAAAGCAGGAGGAGGCGCCGGATTGGAGCCCAGGATGGCAACCTCTGAGGACTGTCATGGCCCTGGCAATGATCCGCGAGCTGGCCACCAGGATGGAGGCAGCGATGAAGGACGAGTCTTTAAGGAAGACTGTGGCGGAAAAGGGATGGCTGGATGGGCAGGGAAACTGGCGATACCAAGGCTGGAATCCGCGTTTGGGATGTCTCGAAGAGGACAAGGACCGACAGCCACTGGCAACAGATGCTCTGAAACTAAGGTTGGAGGAGATCTACGCGGCCCTAGAAGGCGAGACGGTCACCCACTTCAAGTGTACACGCCGACTTACTGAAACGATGGAGTCTCAGGCAGTGTTCAAAATGGATATTTCCACCAGATGCGAAGGGATCACAGCTTGGAACAAGCTGCTCGAAGTCCAGGGCAACAGCGTCTGGCAGCTTGTTGGAGTCGCGTATCGCAAGGAAAGCCTCAAGGACAGCCCAGCTATCCAGAAGCTTCGGGAACTGCTCCGAAGTGAATGCGGCGACGGAATTGCGGAAATGTGGCTTACCCTCGGAAATAACTCCAATGCTTGCTACATGAACAGTTTGGTGCAGGCGTTGCTATGGGCGGCTGAGCTACATGGGGATACGAGTTTTTTATGTCTGGGGCAGTGTGCTTACTTCTTCCGGCAGCTCTGTGCGCATCCTCCGAATACTGAAAAGCTCTTGATAAGGGAAAAGACCCGGAATGCCCTCATCGTTGGCTGGTCGGACCCTCATCGTCAACAGGATGTGATGGAGTTTGCGGCTTTTCTTTGTGATTAATGTAATGTTCAACTGGTTGAAGGCGAATGGGTATCTAGAAAGCTCCATGAGGAGATCTTTCAAGTGGATATGGGGTACACAACTCAGCCGATACTACTGCCCCTGCCTGCCTACCCACCGGGACTGGCTGTCATCAAGGTGCAGAAGCTTGTGAATGAGTGGATGACCCAAGACCACGCGCATGCCTTTATGGCTGCGCCCTCGGTGCTTATGTTTCAGCTCGGTCGTTTTCACGCTCGAGCGAGGAAGATCACGAAATTTCACACGTCCGTGGATGTGGATGCCATGATATGGACGCCTTCCTTTGGGGGACATGATGTACGGCTACGGCAGGAGACTTATCGATGCGTAG